AAAAAGACTAGAGCTTAAAAGCAGCCATTCAGTGCCAGCGGAACCCAGGAAGGATGAGTGTGTATCTCAGAGCCCCTGGGTGGCTGCTGCAGGGGACTGAGCACCAGGACCACCTGGACTGGCAGGACCAGCATTGACTGTCTGCTAAGAGAGAGAGAGAACCAGCATTTGGGGTTTCACAAACAATGTCCAGGACACAATTTATAAAACCAGTTGTCAGACAAAGCACCACCATACAATCCCAGTTTAAAGAGAAAAGAGAAGCAACAGATCCCAGCAGGAAGATTCTCAGAAGTCGGAATTCTTGATGTGGATGTTATAGCAGCCAGAATCAAAATGCTTCTGTGAGAAACTGCGAACAAACTTGAGACAAATAGAATACAACACCATTGGTCATTAGAGAAATGCAAATTAAAACCACTCTGAGATTTCATCTCACTCCAGAAAGAATGGCCAGGATCAAGAAAACTACCAACAACAAATGCTGGAGAGGCTGTGGGGAAAAGGAACTCTCCTGTACTGTTGGTGGGAGTGTAGACTGGTGCCACCTTTGTGGAGGTCAATCTGGAGATTTCTCAAAAATCTGGGATTGGAAGTCCCATTCGACCTAGCTATTCCGCTTCTAGGCAAATTCCCAGAAGAACTGAAAACATGATACCACAGTGATATATGTGCACCCATGTTTACAGCAGCACAATTTGTAATAGCCAGATCTTGGAAGCAACCTAAATGTCCAACAACTGAGGAATGGATAAAAAAAGTTGTGGTACTTTTATACAATGGAGTATTACTCAGCTATAAAGAATGATTACATTGAGATGTTTATAAGTAAATAGATACAATTTGAAACCATACTCATAAGTGAAATAAATGAAACTCATATGTAAATATCGTACAGTCTCCTGAGTGTAAGAAGTGGTAAGAGTATATAAGATACAAAATACTCAATAAATACAGTGAAAAGGTAAGAATCTGCTCAAAGGTGAAAAATAGTATGTCAGGGAAAAGGAGGACGAAGAAAAAAGTAGGGAAGAGAAAAAATATCTAAATTTGTGTAAACACTCTTAGGATAGCTAAGATGATTGTGCTATAAATTCTATAAGTTCATAGAATAAAATAGTTAACATTCATAGGATTGGGACAATTTTGCATGTTTGTGTCTGGTGACCTGAGGAACTATTGAAGATCACTATGTAAAATATCAACCTTAGTTCTGTTCCTACCACCTTGTTTTGAAGTCCATATTGTTATTTGGGTGGGGGCTCTTTACTATTGCTATTTATTTATCTTTTTTGTTTCTTATTTTTCTAGTAATATGTTTTGTTTTGTTAGTTTTTCCCTCTAATACAGAAAGGATAGATGTACATGTAGAGGCTTATGCATGCCTAGAACTTCTCCTAAACAGTTTATGAGAATCGATTATATTATGTGTGATGCAATGAACAGCTATTTTGAAGAAAAACAGACAATGTAGTATCCATTGCTGATTCTGTAGTATCATGCTGTGAAATTCAGTTAATGCTTCTATTCTTTGTTCAGTGTGGTTTTAGTCTTTTTTTGTTTGTTTGTTTGTTTAATTTCAACATACATGGGGCTGGGGATTTAGCTCAGCGGCATAAGCACCTGCCTTGCAAGCAGGTGGTTGTGAGTTCGATCCCCAGTACCGATAAAAAAAAAAAAAGGAAAAAAAATTTCAACATACATGAAACTATGGACAGCTATTTTGAAGAGACATTATGGTAACCACTGTTGATTTTCCTATTGTGTAGTTCTGAAGGCCTGTAATACCTTCATTGTTCTGTTCTGATCAGTTTTGTACTATTTTGTTTTGTATAAATTCATTGTGTGTGAAGACATGGACAACTATTTAGAAGAAAACAAGAGACATTATGGTAGCCACTATAGATCTCCTGTTGTCTGGTTTGAAATCTGTGTCACTTACATTGTTTTCTTGTGATCTACTTTGTTCTGTTTTGTCATGTTTAGTTTTACCCTTTCTAAAATAAAAGAGAAATAAAATCTCAGCAGAGATTGAAAGAGACAGAAGGAAACTGCAGTTCTGATAATTGCATTATCATGCAATTACATGATAATGATAACCCTGGTGGTAAGTGTTGGAATTTGGTGCCATAAATTTCTTTTCTTGGAGTTGACTTTGCCCTAACTCATAAGTTCTGCTGTGTTTTCTTTTTGTGTTTGTTTGTGTCCAAGTTAATTTCCTGTTTTAATCTTTTCTTTGACTGATAGTTAAGAAGAGATTGTTTCATTTCTATGTTTCTAGAGGTTATATTTTCTCTCCTGTTAGTAATTTCTAGTTTCATTCCATTATGCTCAGAATAGGTTCAAGGCATGATTTCAGTCCTGTCAACCTTGTTAAGACTTCTTTTGTGACCTAATGTGTGACTGATCCTGGAAAGCAATAATGCTTGATGAGAATGTGTGCTTCGCTGCTAGAGGATGCTATTATGTTCCCTCTGTGTCTGTTAGAGCCATATGATCTACAGTATCTTCTGCCCCCATCACTTTCTCTGTTTTTCTATCTGGATAATCTGTCTACTATTGAAAGTTGCATATTACACTCTTAAATTATTATCATACTGCCGTTTATTTCTCCCTTCAGTTCTGTCAGTGTTTGCTTTGCATGTTTGGGTGTTGGTCGCAATATGTTTATAATTACTGTATCTTCTTGATGAATTCACACTTTTATCATCTAATAACCTCTTTTGAGTCCTCTTGTGGCTGTTTTTGACTTGAAGTCAAATTTCAAATTTCTGTGATAAGAATGTAGCCAATCTTGTACTATTGTTGTTATCACTGCAGTTTCCCTTCCCTGTGCTGCTCCCAGCCAGTGTGTGTGGATAGGGTGTACCTGAATGCTGTCTTGTGATGCACTCAGCCCGCCTGTCTGGGTAAAGGAGTCCAACACACTTCTCTTTAAAGCACCTGTTGACGGAGAAGGACTTACTGCTATTTCGTCGGTCAATCTTGTAATTCTCTTGTCCTTATTTTCTTCTGTTGTTTTTATGATTTTTTTTTCAAGTGACAACCTGAGTATTTTCTTCTATGCACCTTTTGAGTCTTGTCTTCATGGTTATCACAAGGCTTACATAAAACTTGTACAGTTGAGACGGTCTATCTCAAGCTGGTTACAGTTTAATTAAATGTGTAAAAAGCTCAAGTTTGAGCTTCTTGCCTTGCATGATGCTTCATGTTATATATTTTTACATTGTGATCAATTAATATTTTTGTGGCTGTAGCTGTAACACTGTTTGTCTATTAACTCTTTTTCGTTTCATTTTGTAAAAGCACAAGCTTGTTATACAGAGGGGTTACATTTCTTGTGGGGAGTTGGTACACTGGACCTGAAGCTGATGAATATCACCAATAATGCTATTGCTGCTTTTTACATTTTTAAAACACCTAGTTTATCTCTGAGTTTTGTACCTTCATGTACTTTTATGATCCTTTTATTTTCTTTTCATTTGAACTTGTAGAATTCTCTTTAGTATTATGTTGTAAGGCAGGTCTAATGATGATTAATTCTCTCAGTTTGTTCTGTTTGGGAAAATCTTTACTTTTCCAGAAAAATTTTCTGGACACAGTATTTTCGATTTGCAATGAAAACTGTCTTCAAGAAGAACATGAAAGAAAAAAATTTAATGTACATTTGGGATAGCAGTGTTCCAACTTTTTATTGGAGAATTTTCAGAACAATATATTCGTTTAATAATTATTAAGAACTTTAAGTCACTTAAATCTATAATAGTATCTGTTGACATTTATCAGAATTCAAATTAAAACTGTAAAATATTTAAAATTATTTGGTTATGTTATTTAAAATGACAACAAAACTATTACAGTTTTACAGAAATATATTCACAAAATAATATTTTCAAAATTAAATTTTTGAAGAAAAGTGTTGCTTTTCAATTTTGTAAGTAAATCCCTCGTTGTCTGACGTACTGGATTCTTATAATTGGCTTTGCATTTAATCTTTTCATTCCTGCTTTTATTCATTTTAATAATAAATATTATGCCTCCTAATTTTTCATTATACAAGTGTGCTTAATCATCCTTTTAAAAGCACTCAAAATCTAAGTAACATGTGGAATGAAAAGTCATAGTCCTTTCCCACATCCTACTTAGAATAAAAGATCATTTTTCTCTAAATGTGTGATCAACAAACCCTGCCTGATTTACTGCAGAGAAGTCTGCTGTCCCCTCTCCCACAACAAAAAGGCCAATCTCACTGTCAACCAAATGTCAGGGTCCACATGAGTCTGTTCATGCCTTTTCCTCTGTCATTTAAGCATTTTTTGTATTCCTGTGGACTTCAATATCATTAGCATTTACAATTACAGCTATTTTATTTATTTACAGCTATTCTATTTCTTTATTAAATTATTCTTGGACATTTTCATTGTACTTTGACTATTAAAAACAAATAGCTAACATCCTAAAATCTGTATTTTTAAGCTCAAACTTCTAAATTATCACATCTCTAAAAGCTACTGATACTTAACCTATCATTCTTTTTAACTGTACATTAGCCCTTATGTACAGATCCCTTATGTACAGAGAAAAGATCAGTGAAACATCTGATAGTATGGAGAAACTCAGGATGTGGAGCCAGATTGCTGACTAGTTTTCATTTTACTGTGCACAGTAGCTATCAGTGCAGTAAACAGTGACATAAGCGTTTCCCTCTTAACTCATCAAGGATCACATCAGTACCTGCATAAGACACAAGCAGTTGCTTCTGGCTGTAGAATGTGATGCTATTTACCTGAATATCTTCATGACTGGTCCTAACTTATTCTACACACAGAATATAACACAATCATTTTCTAGGGATATGATGGAAAGGCACAAAAATGCTCCAGTCAGCTGCTTCTCAAGACAATTCTTACTGGAAGTCTCTGTCACGGAGGAAAGCCCCTGGGCTTTTGCTTCACTCAGGGCTGCACGTAGCAGTACAAAAGCCAAGGACATGAGTTTCTGTCAGTCATGAGACACCACTGTCGTCTCAGCAGGAACCCGAGTCAGCAGGGTCCTCCCGGGAACACTGGTGTAGGTGGGACCAGTCCTCCCCAGGAATAAATGGCAAGGAGATGCCATGGTGGTGGGGCGTGGAGAACTTCAGAAAGCTTGAAACAGAACAACAACTCACACCACGCTTGGGAGAGGAGCCCCTGGAAGCATATTCCTAAGAGGTAGGCCATGGCGTTGATTCTGCTGAGGTGTGTGGGTGCTACGGTGATGTGGGGGAAAAGTCAAAGTAGCAGATTGTGCTGTCACATAATAGTAAATAAAACAAAACTGTGGAACCAACTATTTAACCCACATTTTTTTCATGGAGTAAGTGCCCCATCAATGTGAGCCATTTTTTATTTTTGCTATCATTATTATCACTGTTCTTCTCTGAGTCTTAATCCATTATGAGCTGTGCATTGCATATTAGTAAGCAGTGTTCTTTATTCCAGGGACATCCTTTGTTTAATATTTATTTAATATTCTGATCACAATCACATTCTATTCCACCTGTATAAATGTTGGTCAAATCTATAAAAGAGGAAGCTTCATTTTGTTTTCAACATTGTGCCTCTGTTTCTTTCTTTCCAGAGAGTTCAAGAGGGCCTCTACTAAGCCTGCACCATGAAATTAGTATTCCTTCTCATCTTAGTTGTCTTCTTTATCTCCCAAACCATGCCAGGTAAGCTCTACTTTATATCTCCCTTTCACATGGTCTTTCTCCAACCTCTTAGCCTTTCAAATGTGTACTTTTGGTTACTAAGAACCACAGTGGGTTGGAAAGTCACCCAAGGGAGTCCTTCAAATGTTCCATTCATTTCAGGGACTGTGAAGAAAGGAGGAAATGTGTGAGGGAAGGATAGAGAGAAACTGGCCTTTCTTGACTGAGCTGCTGACCCTCTTACACATCTGCTCTCTGGTCCATTTAAATGTCAGATGACAATGTCTAGCATTTATTATTCACCTCACTCTGCAGAGGTCATATGCAAAGACTGTGTATAAAGTCAGGAAAAGAGGGAGGTCACAGGATCTTAGGAGGTATGCACGCATTTGGAGCCATTGCATCCCAAAAGAAACATCGGTACATATTCTGCTCCATATCTTGAGCAAAGGATGCCAAGAATGATGTGGGGGAGGAGACTGAAAGTTGGTTTTCTCCCTGGCCTTCATCTCTTGCATGCGAAGGAGGGGCTGAGGGCCATGGCAGAGCTTAGAGGACATCAGAGCACTACCGCAATCAGCTTTTCAGATTACTGAGAAATTCAGGGCTCGCCCACCCACCTTGCACCTTCCTCACTCTTTTATCCCTTATATTTTACACATAAGCTCATAAAATTTTATTCCATTATATTTTACATATAAACTCATAAACTCATATTTTACATATAAACTCATAAAAATCAAGTATTCACTTTCTGTGTCTCTCTCTGCTTAGAGCTTCTTGTGCCTTCAGAATGTCAATCACAAGTCTGCTGTTCAGTGAGCTCAGGAGAGGGGTGCTGAAACAAGGGCTCCCCAGATGCAGGCCTTTTGTTCTTTGGTCAGTAAGAGCTATTCACTGTGTCCACTGGGCACGAGCAATGGTTTTGTTGTGCCATTCAGAACAGAGATGCCAAGTTAGTTTCCCCAGTGAGTTTACTTCTGATAAAGTGGAAGACATGAGACTCTTGCTTTCTTCTTTTTTATCTCTGCCTCCTCCTCTTCTCTCTCCTCCCCTTGCCTCTTCCTCTTCCTCTTTCTCTTTCTGATACCCTTGTTTCTTTTTCTTTTACTTTCTCTTCTCTTTCCTTCTCTTCTTACTTTCCTTCTCTTCTCTTCTCCTCTCCTCTCCTCTTCTCTTCCCTTCCCTTCCCTTTCCTCCCCACCCCTCCTCTCCCCTCCCTCCCCTTCCCTCCCTTCCCCTCCTCTCCTCTCCTCTCCTCCTCTCCTCTCCTCTCTTCTCTTCCCTTCCCCTCCCTTCCCTTCCTTCCCCTCCGCACCCCTCCTCTCCCCTCCCCTCCCCTTCCCTCCCTTCCCCTCCTCTCCTCTCTTCTCTCTCCTCTCTTTTTTTCCTCCTCTCTCTATTCTTCCCATTACATCTTCTTCCTCTTCTATTGGGGACTGATCAGGCCCCCAACCTCCTAAAGCAATTGCACAGTGAGTGGCTTAAGTAGAGAGATGATGGACTATGGGAGTCCAGGAAGGTGAAAACACCCTGGGAGTAAAGATAAAAGCTTCACTGGACAGCACATATTTACTTGGTTTTTAACAAAGGAAGGGGATACTGAGGGAAGCGTGGGAACTGAGCAGGACCATGGAGTCACTTCAAAGATTTCTCTGAGCAGCAAATTTTTCCAATTAAGAGAACTGTTTGATTCCTAAGTCTGGCAGCTTGATTGCTCTTGAATAACAGTGCCAGTAGCCCGTGTCCTCCCTCAGCTGCCTCAGCTGTGGTGTCATCTTGACTTCAGAGAACTGTGAGCATGAGCTTTTCTAACACAGCCAGAGGTCCCTTTATAGTCAGCAATTTAACACTTACATAGCCTGGTCTCTGATACTCTTTCTCCTTCTTCTCCCTCCTCCCCCTTTTCCTCTCCACCTTCCCCTCTCCCCTCTTCTCTTTCCTTTCTCCTCTTCTTCCTCCTCCTGTCTCCTTCTCTGTCTCCTTCTCCCCCTTTTTCCCCCTGTCTTTCTCTGTGTGGAGAAAAGAAGAACTTCTTTCTCTTTTCGCATAATAAGACACCTGGTTATACCACCAGGGATTATGTGAATTGTCTCCAGAGTAACATGTTTCTCTGGAGATGTCAGTTTCTTAGAAACATATGCTGTATTATGCTGAACCCTAAGCATGAAAGGCTGCTCATCAGCACCTCATTTGGAGTGAACATGGGGATATAGGACCCATGACAGGCACATTTGTGTAACACCATGGTTCTGCTAACACCATGGCTCTAACCACTTTTCTTTAACTGTGAGTATTGACTGGGGCTGCTTGAATAAGTTGAAATAGAGCTAAGAGGTTCATTGATGCGATGAAGTGGGCATGGTGTTGGTTCCACGCCAAGGTGGGCATGACTTTGATTGCCACCATGAGGCCAATTAGAGCCAGCACAAGTGACCACTGAGTCCTGAGTTTGGAAGTTCATGACTTCAACTGATGACCCCTGGTGGAAAGGCTGGCAAATGAAATCTATCTTAGGATGAGGCAGGCTCTTTTGCTCCACCTAATTGAAAAGGTAGCTTGGCTTTGGGTACAGTGAATTTGACTTCTCTCAAGTCCTTCATTTTAGCTACTTTCTATAATTATTCTAGATTCTTTCTTTGAAAGATTAAAAATTTAGATTTTTAACTAAATTTTTACAGATCAATGATAAAATTCCAAAGCAGGGGTTTGTAATTTTGGGAACTGTGTGTAAATTTTAGAGGGTTGCTCTGGTGATTTGAGGCATATTATGTCAATATGCTCATATGTTTGAATAAACAAGGGGCTGTTGCATCATTTATTCTCAGTGGGATCCTGACCCAGGGAGACAAATACAAAAATCTTTATGTGTTGTTCCACATAGCAGTATTAGGCAATTTCAGAGTAACAGAGCTCTGACAGTTGGTGTACAGCTCTAAAAGGAGAGACTGGAGACTCTTATCCCATCCTCCAGATGGCAGCACCAACGCTTCCCACTTCCGTTCAGAACAAGTGTTGAAGATGGTTCTTCCTTTTTATGGGAGGCGGGACAAGCTGGAGACAGAAAGCCAGAGGTACAGAGGTGCAGAACACTTTCATAGGAGATAATCTGTGGGATTCCTGCGTGGGTTAGAAGTCTCTTTGTGCACAGAAAGCTTGAGTATGTCTGCATAAGTGTTTTTCATCTCTACACAGGTTGTGGGGAAGGACTTCATGGAACGACTTATCACTGTGACACACTTTTCAGCGTATGTCTGCGGAGGAAAGAAAATTGTATTCTTCGCATGCCAGGCGTTTGCCCTGGAAGAAGCTTCTGCTGTTTGAGAACATGGTGATCTGGGGCTGGGGATTTAGCTCAGCGGCATAAGCACCTGCCTTGCAAGCATGCGGTCTTGAGTTCGATCCCTGGTACCGATAAAAAAAAAAAATGAGAATATGGTGATCTGAAGAACTCATGCTTCATTGTTCTGTGTTGAATTATATTGAAAAGCTGAAATGTGTCGTTAGCTTCATTCATTGACTTAGTCATTTCTTCAGTGTCCATTGAGTAACAGTCGTGGTCAGGGCATGTCTTTGTGGCAGGAGATATGCTAATGGTCCCTTTAATTCATAGACATGAAAATCCCATCTAAGCTGTATGTGTCAAAAATATCTTTGCAGTAAAGCCACATCTGAGCACAGATTTAAAAACAAGACTTGTCCAGGAAAAGTAAAAATTACATAAATCTTTTCCAAGGTGTAGGAAAAATGTGCAAGGACTTTATGTTGGAAATATTCCTTCCTTGATATTAGGAGAATTCTGGAAGCTAGATCATAGTTACAGAAGAAATTCAAGAAACAATGACTCACATTTGGGGGACTTTAGAATCTGAAGCTATTTTAACTTGCCCTCTAAGCTATAGAGAAATACTGTGGAAATTACAGGAGCAGCATGTGATCCTAAGTGACCAGTTTGATTTTTGCAAAGCAAAAATGACCATGAATGAGAAATATTTCAAATCAATTCAGGATATTGAAGCAGCCATGAGAGTTTAAAGATCCCAATAGAGGACTTCCAGAATGGCTTCAAAAAGAGGAAAGAATGGTGAGATAAGTGTGCTTGAAACACGAAGGAGTATCTTAGGAGGATGAGTGATAATGTGTCTTTTCTAGTGCAAACAGTCTCTCCAAAGACACCTTTCCACATTTCCAGATTCTTTTAGAACCACCTCCTTAGCTCCCAAGGAACACCTGTCAACACAGCTGATACCTTAATTTTACAGCAGTGTTTCAGAGGAGAAACAGTGGAGATCCAGAGAACCGAGGTGTGCTCAAGACAAGTGATATGGACAGCATAAGGTGTGTGGGTAGAACACAGCTGAAATGCTTAAATAGGGCTGTTGATTTAGCTCAGCACCATAAGCATGTGACTGGTGAGCATTTAAGGTCATGGGTTCGATACCTGGCACCAAAAAAAGAGAAATGCTTAAATAAAGAAAACTCTAGAAATGTGTCTTTGGAGAGAAGAAAATAGCCACTGTTTTCTAAGGCTTGCTAACCTGGGTTGGTTTCAATAACGTCTGAATTCTGATTCTGTGGGCTGTGATCGCAGTGACCAGTGATTCGTAAGCGATTATCATAGGGCACAACACAGAGAAGTGAGATTAAAATGTGTTGATTGGTCTCTTTACACACACACACACACACACACACACACACACACACACCCCAAAGCTTTTACCACAAATGAGATTCGTAGACACATGGTGTAGCTTGCAGGGGTCTTTGAGGACAGCCACTGAAGTGAGCCGTAGAGGAAGGAAATCGCTGTCCAAATCTATCATCTTAGGAGTGGTGTCACCTGCATTCTGCCCTCCCCATCCCACCTTGCCACTGAGAAGTCACTCAGGCTCCCTCTCAGAAAGGCCAGATGTAGGATCCACAGGGTAGCAGTGGTACGGTGCCTTTATTAAACAGGAGTCAGCAGCTGAGCTCCTCCCTGCCCTGGCCTCTGGACTGGCGCTAAGGTCACACTCGGCAGCAGTGTTTGTGACGGCTCTTACACTCCGCGGGCAGGATGGAGCACCCATGGGTCTTCTGGTGCTTGCATGCTCCACCCATTTTGGCACACTCCAGGAAGATGTCACTTCTTCTATATCCTGTGGAAGAGGGGCGGGATGAAAAAATAAAGATGCAAAATCTTGTTTAACCAACATACTAGACTTTGTTTAGTTGAGCAAGATTGAGCAAACAAATGCTAAAAGGGCTAAAGGAAACAGTCCATTTGAGCCTGACCTGAGAAAAGAGTGGTTTTCATATTTGAAAAGAAACTCAAAAAAAAGTGCCCTTGGTAACATCTTAAAAAGGTATGAAATTTAAATCTCGGTGTCCCTTAGTAACGTTTAACAGGAAGCTCGCTGCTCTCGCACATGTACGTCCTCTCCATCACTGCAGTCAGGCAGGATGTGGATGTGAATGTTACTGCAGGAGAGGCCTCATGGGCCACAGAGCCTGAAGCTGCTGATTCTTTACAGGAAATCTTGTGGGCCGCTATGGCACAGGCGCCTTCCTCTTCAAGGGAAGAAACCTTGAGTTAGAGAAAGCAACTTAAATTGACCATGTCACAAGATTAGGATTGTATTTTCACTTCTGCTCACAGTCTTCATAATAGCTTCCTGAAGAGTCTTCCTCCTCTGTCAGGGATCAGACTTTACAAGTGTGGAGCAAAAACTGGACAATAAATCTTGGGTGAGTGGTTAACTAGAGTGGTGTCCTGACCACTGAACGCAGACCTCCCCTGACTTTGTGCAGTCTGTGTTGTTCCACTAGCTGTAAGCATTTGAAGGTCAAAGTCTTGGTACCTAACAAGCCCCAATCTACTATGCTCTAGTTAGTCAGCCTGGAAAGAAATGCTAAGGGATGTGGACGGTTGATTATAGCAGTATTGAAAGCAGCAGGCAAGTAGAGAGAACTTGAGCTGTGTCTTAGCTCCTAGGAGCAGGAGATGAAATGGCAATCCACCAGGAAAGCATGAAAATGAGCCATCTCCATCAGAGCAGATGGCAAAGCAAACTCAAGTAGGAATTAGAGGTCTTTGCTCCTAAGTCCTCCCACAAGTGTAGTTTTGGGAAAGCAGGTCATTTTTATAAACAGAGAAGGATGAATACAGACATATAGATGTATGCTGAGTCTGTACTAACACACAGAACTTTGCAACAGATAATATCAGTCACCTATCTATCTATCTATCTATCTATCCATCCTATCTCATCAGCCTATTTTCTACCACTCTAGGCTACTGAGCATACATGTCTCACTCTACACTTTCTTTATAACAAATATTATTGACTTCTAATCCTTAGGCTCATTAGGGACAGCCAGGAGGCTGCGTGATTAATGCATTTTGAATAGAAGTAACACGTCCTTTAAGGGCTGAAATATGCCCCTGATTGCCAATGTGAGACACTTAAGAAGCCAGCAACCCAGGGCCATAGGCCATTGGCTAAGCATTGCTACAGCAAACAGAAACACTGAAGCAATACCCGGGATTTGAAGGTAGATCTATTTTACGTCAACAGGCACTGATTGGGATCATTCCGAAAATACCAGGTCTCCATCTCTGATGGTCTAGGGCCTTTATGTGATGCACAAATAGGAGGTACAAAGGTGACACAGAACAGCCTGGCAGTTCTTCTGATTAGCTAGCCGGATGAGGCCATTTTCACAAGGCTAAATTAAGGATCGCGAAGCATGGTCCAATCAGATATCCTGCATGTTTGATTATGCTCTCGTGGTTTCAGGGGTCCAGAAAGTAATTACAGAACCAGGAAGCAGTGAAAGAGTGAGGCAGCTTCAAAAGAACAAACTTAAAAAAAAAAACTCACAACTTTCCTGATACAATTTTTCCCTCTCAGTCTGATCCACTCCAGGAAGCAGAGAAGCCTTGTGACCTTGATGCACTTGGAGAGGAGATTGATGGCCTTTTCAAAATACCAGGTTTTGAATGTTATTTTAATTACAGCACTGCAGAGGCTGAGCTAGCATATGTAAAAGCATCAGGTGAAATTGGGACTTCTTCAATTTGAATTTCAATAAAACAATAATCCCATAGAATAGATATGTGCCAAATTATTTTTGCATCATATACAGAAAAATACTCACTGCTTATATAAACATAGTAAGTAAATTTATTTTTTGGGAATTGCTGGATATTTAGTAAGAACATTTTCTGCTGTACTAATTCAGTATACACTTAAGTCTGGGATTTGTTGCATTTAATCTGTGTAGCTTGGGTCATGTTTTGTTATTTCTAAGTCTCACGTGTAAGGCATCCATGCACTATACTAGAGAGGTATACATATATATATATATATGTATATATATATATATGGGGTAATACAGCCAAAATCAGTTTTGTGACTTAAGTAAGGAAGAGGTAGGCAGTATTTGCTCTAATTGATGTTTTTCTAGTTGCTTTATTTTATTCACATGGAAATCTTTGTACCCTGTGAAGCCTACTGTAAACATAATACATTACAATTAGAAACTATATCAGAAATCTATTGAAATCATCAAAAATAATGTCAGGAAGTTTCCCGCTAAGCTTTTCTTTCCTCCTTTGCCAAGTGGAGCTTGTCTCGCATGTTGAACCTCTCCCAGCCTGGGTCTTCTCCTCGGCCATCCTTTGTGCTTCAGGGGCCTGTGAGCCACGTTGGTGAGCTCCAGGCTCCAAGCTCATGTCATGCCTGCTACGTGCATTTGCAGCTTACCTAATGCTGTCTGCATGAGGCCAACCAGAAGCAGAAAGAGGAAGAGCAGTTTCATGATGGGACGCAGGGCTGCAGGAGGGTCTGGAAGTGCGCGCAGTGCACAGTGGTCACGGGGAGTCTGGAAGAGATTGCAATGCTTACATTCAGAGGGCCGATACTCAGTTTAGGGCCTGAGAATGTTTCATGACTCAAAATTGAGTTACAGATCCAAGCTTCTTCCTGTGAAAAAAAGAAAGGCTTTATAGTCAGAATTTTCTATTGGATTTTTATTTTGAGTAAAATTTTTTGAGACGAAAATCTTACAAAGAAGGTTACTTGTGAATTCTCATTTTTCACCCACCCTCATTGCATGACTGCATTTTTTGGTTTCCCCTTTAGAAATTCAAAGTAGATAATATGAATCTCCCTTTATTAGATTCTACAAGAGGAGAAGTGGTTTTGAAAACAGAAATTACCTTCTCTCCTTACTCACTTTCGATTACTTTTATGCTACTTGATAAGAGGAGAGACTCTGCCCATGTGCAAGGGACACCCTGACCATGGCAAGCTCTTGCCCAGACCACAGACATTCGTGGTCAGGCAGCTTCTTATCAGAGACGATGCAGAGTGTACAGAAATAAGCACTGGCATCCTCTTCATCTCATCTCTTTCTTCTGTTATGCATTTTCTCTTAAAGTACATTTACCTACTACACTATACTACATTCACATTATGCTTTACTATACTACACTATATTCAAGTTATAGTATACTATAATGTGGATTTCTAAAATAACAAGTCTTGCTTTATTATTTCTCACATACAGAAGCTTGAATAATACTGGGGAATAGAGAATGTACTATACAATACATGTTTCTGAAAATGAGCTTGTCTTAAGAAGGATTCAATCAGTGGATGAATAAATGGATTATGGGGAAGGAAGAAAGAACAAAGGTAAGGAAAGGTTAACGTCTTAAGGTTTGTGTGTCTCCAAAAGCCATGTGTTAAAGTGTGACTCTTAGCTTTAGGAGCTGAGGTCTTTGAGATGTAATCAGGTGACACAGTAAGAACTCTCAAGAGTGGAATCATTGACTTTATGAAGAAGGTCCAAGGACATTCATTCATTTTTCTTCTGTCACATGAGAAAACATCAAGAAGGCATCACCTATGAGTAGAAAGCTCTTACCAGATTCTTTGATCTTGTAATTCTCAAGCTCTGGGACTCTGAAAAATAAATTTTTGGTTTTATAAATTGTCCATTTGATGGTATTTTGTTGCAGTATCTTGAAGAGATGAAGACAAGCAATAAGGATAGAGGCTGCTATAACAAAGTTTCTTAGACTGAATAATATACAGAGAACAGAAATCTACTGTACACAGGTGTGGAAGCTTGGGAATCTATGATCAAGGAATCAGTTGATTTGGCATCTGGTGGCCACTCATTTTCATAGAGGTGGCTCCTTCTACGCTAGCAGTAGCCTTCTTTATAAAGGCACTATTCCATTCATGTGTCATTTCCTCAAACCCCATCCTTTAGTACCATGATTAGGATTCATATTTTAGTATGAATTTTGGGAGGAGACAAATATTCAGACAGAAGCAACTGCTGCTGCTGCCACAAATAGAAAAGCACAATTGGGAAGCCTTTATCCACCTGCTTTTCTCCTTCACTCGTACAGTGAAAGGAATCCCCTCAGCGGCCTCCCACCACAAGAAGTCTCTGCTAAGTGCTTACCTTGTGATTCTTCCTCCACCGTGCACATACCTTATGCTGCCTCTAGAGGCAGGGGGACCTGAGAGCGGCATCCAATGTCACATGATTGTGGGGTCATAATGGGTCTGGGCAATGGTGTGATATATTGTGACTCCGCTGACCATAATGAAATTTTAGTAGCAGAGGAGACCAAGTGAAAGTGGGTGGGACTTGTGGAGTCACCCATTTCAAAGGATTTCAAACTCAGAAGAAACAAGAGACAGTAGTCAAAGGGTGATGTAGTATTAAAGAAGAGAAGCTTGGCGTAAGTTGATAGATTTGGTAGAGGAAAAAGATGGGAGAGATAGAGAAGGGAAGACTTGCTGGAATCATATGCATAAAGAAGCAAAGAGGTTAGCTAAAGAAACACAAGTGGAAGGGTGGCACTGTCCAGAGCATGGACAGCTCTTCTTGGGGACATGAGGTCCCCCTCCCCATTCATACAGAAAGCAACTTTAAGCTGTTGAAGTAAAAAAATATTCCTTTCATGTGGGAATCATTATACAACATCTGGGAATACTCTCATGATAAAACATGCACAGATTTTTGTAAGGTAATAGTTACCAGTTAAAAATAAGTAAAAATTCTAATAATGACGATGATTGGAAATTAATAATAAGATCAAATTACACCTGAAATCACACACTGAATAACAGATTGTGAAATAAGCAAAAGGTCAAAGATAAAAGGGGCCTGTGATATGAGATGGGATTCAGAGGGAGGGGATAATATAGAAAGGTGAAAAGCTAGAAGCCTAGGAGGGAAAGGTCATTGTTATTAATGATCAGAAATTCAAAATAGGAGAAAAAATCCTATGCATATAAGAAACAGAATAAGGATTTTAGAAGGTGCGCAAATGCTTGAATTTTGAGAAATACATTGGAGAAAAGAAGTACAGAAGCAGTAAGACAGAGATGAGCCCTGACTGTGAAAAAGAAAAGGCCAGCAAAGTGTACACCTTCCTGTTAGGGGTCTTCCACTGGTCCCTAGAGGCTATGTCACTTGCCTCCACGCTGCCAGGAATTTGGGGGAGAAGAAGGGTGAGGCCAGTATCCTGGCATTTTCTAAAAAGCATGACAAGATCAGAGATGCAGATGCATAGAGATGGAAGGGATGCTGGAGGTGCAGCCATCTGCTGGAAGATCTGGGTGGCAACCAAGTCAGGAGGCTGCGCAAGGCAGATAGGCCAGCTGTAGAAGAAGGACAGGCCCCAGGGATTGCGCTGAACTGTTCTCACCTGTGTCCCCTTCTCCACCAACTTCCGCGTCACCCTAGTCTGTTCGTGTGCCCTCTTCTTCTCTTTCCTACACAGTTCTCTCTTTCAAACTAGCAAGGGGAAAGATTCAACTAACCTGGCTCTAGCTCAGTTTTGACATGACAGTCCTGTGATGGACAGAAGCTACACAGCTTCAGGGAAATTCTCGATTTCCTTCCCCCATTCCTTTCAGCTTCTATCTTTTTTCCTCTTTCCTAATTTGATGCAACAGATATTACTGAACCATGTACTTTTGCCAGCCACAATCCTGGGCATTAAAACATAAAACTACACTTATAGAGGTGAACAGTTTATCCCCTGAAATTCGTGGATGGCAGCTCTGACCCCATGTGCACAGTTACATGAAGGAATCAAGGATGAGCTGGGCGGAGTGCTGTGAGGGAAGCAGACACTGTTCCCTGAGATCAGCCTCAGGCAGGGTCAGCCCCGGAAGCAGGTGACAGGAAGCCACTGGACCAGGAGACTAGAAGGTGGACAACATGCCACACGGGCCATGCCTTGTCCTGTCAGAGGAGTCCAGAGGAGGCCACGGCCTGAGGAAGAAGCCATGGTAAGGAGGCAGAGAAGGGAAACTCCTGGGATGGAGCTGGGGAGATTTGCTTTCAAACATAACTGATAACCCCTTCTGAGCTGTCCTAGAGAAATGCTGTATGTAAATTATAAGAAAATGGGATAAAACTTACTACAATCTTTCAGGTAATAACGTCTTATTTGCCAGGTGTAAAAATGCGGTGATGTGATTTTAGCCCTCAGGAGCCTCGGCAGCCCAGTGAAACCCCGGAGCACACACAGCAGGGCCTGCTCCCCAGGTGGGGGCGCCTGTGCTGAGGGAACCCCAGTGCACAGCTTGAAATGAGGAATTTTCACAGGCTGTGGAACTGGGCCAGCCTTCCAGGGGCTCCAAGGTTAGCAGATGTGCCAAGGGCACTTTTGTGAATGATGTAAAAGCATGCATATCCTTCAGATACACACGCTGTTGCTTTAAAAAGTTCTTCACTGCACATTTGCAGCTCATAAAGTTTACATCCATCTTGGCCAGGAGTCGATGTCTGGACATAACACAAGTGGATTCTTTTGCATTCCCTCCCCCTTTCTGCTCCCCATTTTCATTATTGTTATAATTATTTTAGCTCACATGTATAACACATAATGTTAGATACCATATGATATCTCTCATTTGAGTAAGGCAAAGTACAAATAATGAGCAAAATATTGTCACTTTTGTGTCTCATTAAAAACACCTAAACATTAGCTCCTTGTTATTAGTACCTTTTATGCTCACAGCATATGTATTTGAAGACTGAAAGACTTAAGACATAAATATTTCAACAAAAGTGAAACCATACAGAAACACTCACATGATCTGGCACTCAAAGCCTAAAGCATCTTTGAGGATGCTCTTGGTCAAATAAGGAGGACAAGATGACAGCCAGTAAATTGGGATTTCACAGCACAGTCAGGGCTGTGGTGAGGGCTGTGTCTAAGGCAGCACTGGGTCTCCCTTTTCTTTCAGTGCTGTGACTCTCTCTCCCTGTTTTGTCTCATGAAAGCAGTGAGCTCGCCTTAGGATTGTCTGCGAGGACCGAGGTGGTTAGTTACCAAGTCCAGCACGTGTGGCACTGTCCACACAGTGCTATGAGGTGGGTGAGGGAGGAAGAGGATTTTAACTATTATTCACTTTGAATTAACAAATATTCTGGTTTGGGGTTTTTCTTTCCTTTTCACATTGATGTTTCAGTTCATGAACTTACAATCCACTTCTGGGTGAGTGCAGTGAGGGTTCAAAATCATACCTTGGGTTTGTCTCAAGACAGAAAAACGAAATGACACCTTGTTGGGAGGAGACATTTTTCTCTGGATGGATGCCTTTAGTGGCATGATCAGGGAAGAGAATCACTGACCACAGATACAAATTAAATTACTGAAGTATTTTGCTTTAAAAATGATACCATAATGCCATGCTTTCAAAATTAAATGTAAAGATCACTAAAATATGCAAAATTCAAATAAGTTCTGGATCTTTCGCTCACATTGCACTACACGAAATGGTAGCTTCATTTCGACCTGAACCAATCGTGTCTTTCATCACGTACTTTTGTTTAAACTTTTTTATTCAAAAAGATGTTTCTAGTGTCTGTAAATGTCTGTCTTAGATTGCAGTGTGGTTATATTTAGTATAACAAAGCACTCAGGAAGAAACTGCTGTATTACTGTGGAAAATATTTAATGGTTATTTGTTCTCGAAATAACCCAGCATAAAGGTGTCTATAAAACAGAGACTGCACCGAGTAAGAACTGGGTACCTTTATCTTCCTAAGCGCTCTGTGGTCAGGATCAGGAGACTGAAACTGAAAACAGATTCTAGTTGGAGGAAGAGTGGGTGTGGTTTGGTCTCGACCTCATAGGTACTTGACCGTATCTCCTGTATTTCCAGTATTTTCTCTCTCTCTCTCTCTCTCTCTCTCTCTCTCTCTCTCTCTATCTCAATTTGAATTTTTCTGTGCCTTTTTCTACTCTCGGGCTCTCTCTTCTTCTGTAAGCAATTTGACATGAAACCATCTACTGCAATATTTATGTCAGAGGCTGTATTTTAAGTGTTTGAGCTATCACTTGGCATTTTAGCATTTTGTGGGAAATACACCGAGGAGCACTGTATATTGGCAGCTCTTGTGGGGTTACAGGCTTTTCACCCTGAAACTTTTCCATGAATAAGAGAAAGAGAAGAAGTTGCTTTAAAGTGGTAATTTCCAGTGAAACTTCATCAGAGGGAGATGACAAACCACTGAAGAAATACTAAAAGTATGGAATTGCGAGACAACTTGGGGCAATGAGGCATCACTGAACTTAAAAAAAAAACCCTCATAGAAACTTAAGTGCAATTTCCTTAGCTTTCTCTTACAGATGAACAATTTAGAACAAAAATATATTTTAAAATTAAAATTATGAATAGAATTCATAAATTTAGCAAATAAGTTACAGAGATTCCAAGTAAATATTAATTTCAAATAACCAACCACTAAAACTCTTTTTTTAAAAACTCTTTAATATATCATATCTCATATAATGTTTGAGATCTACATCTACCAAAAAGTATTCATCTTTTTCCCCTAAAGTTCTGTATTGAGAAAGTGCTTAGCAATATTCCAGATATCTTCTTGGACTACATGGGAAGAGAACAAGAAATCAACAAGAAGCAAGTCCCCACCACCACCCTGCTTCGAACCAGCACCATGCAGGGGCTACCGCAGCCAGCAGACAGCCAGACCCAGGCCCTTCTGGCATGTGGGCTGGCAAACAAGAAAAGTCAGCCCCCCCACCCACCCCCACCCCCCATCCCCATAAGCAGCTTGCTGATCCAGAGAAACACAGAGTGCCACAAATAGCTATTGAGGTGAAATGCAATTTAGTGTTTGGTGTTTCACTGACTGCAGGTCTAAGGCCAGTGGTCTGATCATCTGCTCAGAGTATCTCCGTACACAGGTTTCCTCCTGAAGGTGGTAGCCATTGTTAACTCCCTATTATCTTGTTTTGAAGTCCTGTATCATTTCCATTGTTTTGCTGGGTTGGGTTTTATTCCGTTTTGTGTTATTTGATTTTGTTATGTCCAATGGCATGGGCAGCTATTTCAAGGATAGCAGGATATATTATGGTAGCCATTTTGGATTTACTGTTGTCTTGCTTTGAAGTTCTTTATTGCATTCATTGTTTTGTTTTTATTGATTGTGTTCT